CCTTTTCTCCTTCTGGCACCCCTATGATTCAGATGTTGGAATGTTTAAAGTTGTCCTGAAGGTTCCTAAGCCTCTCCTCATTTTTTTGAATTCTTGTTTCTTCATTCTGTTCTGGTTGTATGTTTATTTCTTCCATCTGGTCCAAACTGTTGATTTGAGTCCTGGTTTCTTTACCTTGACTGTTGGTTCCCAGTGCATTTTCCTTTGTTTCACTTTGTACAGCTTTCACTTCTTCCTCCATTTCACGACCATACTCAACCATTCTGTGAGCATCCTGATCACCAGTGTTTTGAACTGTGCATCTGATAGGTTGGCTGTCTCTTCATTGCTTAGTTCTATTTTCGGACCTTTGATCTGTTCTTTCATTTGGGCCATATTTTTTTGTCTCAGAGCACCTGTTATGGAGTAAGGGGTGGAGCCTTAGGTGTTCACCAGGGTGGGGCAACCTAGGTTGCTGTCCTGTGGCGCTGTATGTGGGGGAGGGGTTCCAGAGGGAACAGGGCTGCTTGCTCAGCTCTTGGCTGGCTTTCTGTCATTTCCCCCACTACCCACAATCAAATGGGGCCTTTCTGGTGCTGATTCCCAGGTGGGTGGTTTTGTGTACATACTAGGACCGTGTGGTTCTCTCCAACGAGCTCTCCTGGGAGACCGGGCGTTTCTCCCACCCCACAACCCCCAGGATTTAACAGTCAGAGATTCTGAGGCTTTATTTCCCTGCACTGGAACCCTGGGTTGCTCGGTCTGTCTTGCCCCCAGTTTATTCCCACGCACACATGGGACCCCCCTTCGGCCAGCCACCACCTTGCCGTGAGTCCTCTCCGCTCTGCCTGCCCACCCAGCTGCCCGTCTCCGCCCCTCCTCCTGGTCTGGATGCATGTTTCTTCCCTAACTCTTTGGTTGTCAGACTTCCATACGGTTCGATCTTCTGACAGTTCTGGCTACTTTTTGTTTTTAAATTTGCTGTTGTCCTCCTTTTGGTGAGGAGGTGGTGTCCTTTGTGTGAGGAGGCAGTGTGTCTACCTGCACCCCCATCTTGGCCGGAAACCTGTTTAGAGATCTTTAAGGAAGTTACTGAAGCTGAAGAACCAACGAATTGAGGGTCAAATTGAAGAGGATAAAAGGAGAATTCAGAAAAAGGAGAAACACTTTGAAAGAAAACAGGGAACATAACGGTTAACTGTAGCCAGGCAGGCAGGCTTAGTTCACTCCCTCATCCTTCCATGTCAGCCGCGACGTTAAATCCCGGATCTCGCCTTTGAGAGGAGCCGCCTTAAGCTCGTTTCCCCGTCTGTCAAGTTTGGATAATAGAACCCTTTTCATAGTATAAAATTGTGCATGTCAGAGACTTACACGTAGCCTGGCATATAATGATCCTTAATACATGCCGTCACGTCAGGAGAAAGGACTTGGTAACATATTGGATGCAGATAGCCCCGCGGAGAAGGGGGAATTAAAAAGAATGCCAAGGTGTCTACCCTGGGTGGTGCGGTCATCGGCGGAACCCAGGAAGGCAGAAAGAGCTCTATGGTTGGCGCCCATCAGCACCTTTTCTTCGGACTAGCTAACGAATACGCGCTAAGAGCACAGAAAGCCAATATAATTTGAGGAGCCAGAGCTACGCCAGGATGTTGAAGCAGCAGAAGGGGAGGCCGGATCTAATGGCCTAGGGGAGTCTTCCTAGAGAAGGCTGTGGTTGCACATAGCTCTGAAGGATGAGTACACCCCGAGATGAAGACAGGCGTGAGGAGCACGGCAGACAAACACACATGAGCAAAGGTGCAGAGGTGAGACACAGCCTAATGAACACGGGAAGCTGTGGACAGTGTGACTACAAAAAAACAACATGGCGAGCGGGTGGGAAACGAGGCTGGAGACGTGGGCAGAGGCCAGGCCACAGCCATCCCTCCCTCGCTGGGTGCGCCCCGCTGCAGGGCTGCTCCAGCCCCTCCCGGTCCCAGGCTGGGATGGCGTTGCCGGCCCGGCACTGTGCACACAACACGAGCATCTTCAGCCCCGGGCCCTTCCGCCCTGTTCCTGCGGTCCTGGCATATCCTGTTTCTCTAAGCTCGCCCCACAGGGTGAGCAAACAGGACCTGCTGGATTAGGGTGTTTGAAGAGGGGCGGGTGAGATGCCCAGGCTGTGTCGTGTCATGCCAGCGGCTGAGATTCCCCGCGCCCCCACGTGGCTGGTCTTTGGGCGGGGACGCCCCCTGAGGAGGCAGGGGCGCGACCCATTCTACCCACCCCGGTCCGGTCCGTGAGTCACTTATCCAGCAGATGTTTGGGGAAGGAGTAGCGAGCGCTGTGCTGGGTGCTGGGAAGACACCGAGCTTTGTCGCCTGAAGACAGCCCCATTCAGCTGGAGTGGACTGCAGAAACACCCACGAGGACGTCACCGGGCATCAGAGCTGTGATAACACTAGCTGGCTTTTTTTTTACATGAAACACAGAGTTGATTCTTTTATTATTAATTATTGTAACACTTTTAAGTATATTTGATTGATTATGCTATTACAGTTGTCCCAGTTTTTTTTCTTCCCTTTATTCCCTTCTGCCCTGCACCGCCCACCCTCCAACATTCCCTCCTGCTTAGTTCATGTCCATGGGTTGTACATATAAGTTCTTTGGCTTCTGTATTTCCTATGCTATTCTTAACCTCCCCCTGTCTATTTTGTACCCACCATTTATGTTTTTTATTTCCTGTACTTCCTCCCCCCCCATTTCCCCCTCCCCCTCCCCACTGATAATCCTCCATGTGATTCTGTTCCTGTTCTAGTTGTTTGCTTAGTTTTCATTTTCGTTTTTGTTTTTCAGGTTCAGTTGTTGATAGTTAGGAGTTTGTTGTCATTTTACTGTTCATAATTTTTGATCTTCTATTTCTTAGATAAGTCCCCTTAACATTTCATATAATAAGTGTTGATGATGAACTCCTTTAACTTGACCTTATCTGGGAAGCACTTTATCTACCCTCCCATTCTAAATGATAGCTTTGCTGGATAGTAGTTTGCTGGAAAGTAATCTTGGATGTAGGTCCTTGCCTTTCATGACGTGTAATACTTCTTTCCAGCCCCTCTGGCCTGTAAGGTTTCTTTTGAGAATTTAGCTGTTAGTCTTATGAGAACTGCTTCAATTCTCCCAAACCCAGGAAAATAGTAGTACTTGTATTCCACCTTCAAGATGGTCTAGAATCTGCCTTGGCTGCTGTAGCTCAGTGGATTGAGTATGGGCTGCACGAACAAAGGGTTGGCGGTTCGATTCCCAGTCAGGGCAACCCACGCCTGGGTTGCGGACCAGGTCCCCAGTGGGGGCCATGTGAGAGGCAACCACACATGGATGATTCTCTCCCCCTCTTTCTCCCTCCCTTCCCCTCTCTCTAAAAATAAATAAATAAAATCTCAAAAAAAAAAAAGATGTTCTAGAATCTCCATTCCTATCAAAATAACTCATCAACAAAAGAATAATCCTTTTAAAAAAATAATCAGTTCCCAAGCTCTCTGAAGTCCAATGTTTTTGTGGGAAACACAGACATGTTTAAAATCCAGCCATACTGGGATAAGACCCCTCTAATTGCCTTTGTCCAGAAGCAACGTAGGAGAGGTATATGTTTTTTTTCTTTCCTTTTTAAGCTGATTTTAAAAAGAGGAAGGGAGAGAGAGAAATATTGATTTTGTTGTTCCATTTACTTACACATTCACTGGTTGATTCTTATATGTGTCCTGAGACTGTGGATCGAACCTGCAACCTTGATGTGTCAGGATGATGCTCTCACCAGCTTAGGTGCCCGGCCAGGGCCAGGGGTATGCATTTTCCATACGGGGAATTAGGTAGCAGAGGCCTAAGGAAATGCAACTCTAATGTTACTGTGATTGTATTTCTATATCTTAACCCATTGTTGTTTCCAACTGGAAATTTAAATTTTTTTCTATTAACACTGGTGAAGTATGGCTTATTTAATTCTCATAACAACCCTAGTAACATAGTTTCATTTTGTGTTCAGGAAATTACACACAGAGAGGCGAAGTGACTTGTCCAAGGTCAAACAGAGCTTCCGGGGGGTGGTTAGGGTCAGCGTTAGGGCTAGGGATTCAAATCTAGCCGTTGGCCTCCAGCGTTGACTCTGTGTAACCACTAGGTATACTGCTAGCCAGAGAGTCTGCTAACCCTTTCGTTCTAAAGAAATGCCGTGACTACAGAGAAAGGAGCAATTGCTGTGGCTTGAGGGCACCCCCAAAGGCTCCTTGGAGAAGGTGGGACCTGCCCTGGGCCTGGAGCAGGGGCTGCATGATGACGGCAAGATGGGAAGGGCAGACCATCGCTTCAGTTATCCTTCCCTCGGAATCCTCACCTTCCACCTGAGTGGCAAAGCCAGCGGGGACCCCGAAGATGACCTAGCCCAGGGGCTCTCAAAATCTCTTAGGATGTGGACACTTTTCTTTAAACGAAAGGTGAACAGAGGTCTTCTGTCTCGGAGAGGAGGCCCAGCATAACTTGACCCCTGAGGACCACTTTTATTTTCGCCGTCTGGAGGAGACAGCGGCTCCCAAGAGGCAGGGATGAAGGGGGCATTTTATTTTATTTTTTTAATTAAAAAAAAGGTTTTTTTCCATCATCATTTCTCCACCTGTACCAACTCCCCTCCCCACACCCCTCCGTAAGCAGCTCTTGCCTCTTACTCTGCTCTTGCCTCTTACTGTTTGCCCCTGTACCTGCCCTCAGATGGAACTGTTGGCGGCTACAGATGGGCAAGGGAGAGAGTGAAAGGAGCTGGGGCTTAGAACTGCCGCAGATGAGAATGGAGGGAGTTTCAGCTGGGGTTGTGACGCATGAGCTGCGTACTTGGGACTAGAGAGTGAACTCCAGTCTTCCTCCCTGTGGCCTACACTGCATCGTGGTCTCCAGGAAACATGTCCGCCACTGCCCGTCCCAACAGGGCCTTGTCTTATTTATCAAAGAAACGGGGTGGTCAGCACCTTTCTCACTGTCAACTCTGCCTTCCCCAGATACGTGCAGGTGAAGTTTGTCTGTATTCGGACCCAGTCAAACCGGAGGAGAACACCAGGGGCAGACATGTGCCCGGCGTACCTGCTCCTGCGGTACAGTGAGAAACTGGACAGGCTGTTTATCAGTGAGCTCAACACCCAGCACATACACGTGGACTGCAGAATTGCGGATCCCGGAGGAGACGCGGCTGGCAAGTCTCAGAAGACGGTGTGCTTGCAGAAACCGGAGCCCGAGCAGCCCGCATTTGAGGAAGATCTGGACGTGGCCGAGAAGCCCCTGGTCAAGCCATCACTTTGCTCAGATAAGATCCAAGCAACCCCGCAGCCAGAGCAGGAGGGTATCACCCCTTCTGACCTGGCCAAGATAGCAAAAGTGATGAAGAACTTTCTTAAGGTGGATGAGGGTTCCATGGCCTCCCTCAGTGTGGGCAACAGCCAGGACCTGGACCGGCTCAGCTTCCAGAGCAGCAGGATGAGCAGCCTGTTCACGCGCTTCCCAGAAAGCCTCCTGCTGCACCGGGTGGAGAACGCCCAGGGCCACACTCTCTACGCTTTCCTGGTGGAGAACAAGGAGCGCGAGGGCCGAGTGGTGCATTTCTCTGTGCTCAAGGCCGAGACAGCCACGTCTGTGGCCAAGATGCTGAGCATCTTCACCGAGTTCAACTCAGATTGGCCCAAGATCAAGGTGGTCTTTGTGGACCCGTCCTTCCCTCACCGAGCTGTCCTGCAGGAGGTCTTCCCCATGGCCCGCGTCCTCCTCTCCATCTACCACACGACCCGCCTCCTAGAGAAGAAGTTGCACCGCAGTTCAGCAAACTCGTCCTTTAAAAGTCTCATGAAGGAAGCCCTGCGGGAGGCTGTGTTTGTCACCTCGGACGCCAGCCTGCAGAGTCTCTGTCAGATGTCCCAGGCCCTCCTGGACGAGGAGCTCTTCGGCTTCCTGCAGGCCCACTGGTTCTCCTGCGAACTGCTGTGGTACATGCACGTCAGGAAAGGCCTGCACGCGTGCAGCACCTACATGGACAGCCTGGATGTCGTCACCAGCAAGGTGTCGAGCCTCTTCCGGGAGCCGCGGTCGCTGCTGGACTGCATCCTCCGCTTTGTGGACTACATAGACTTCTTCAATACCAAAGGCGTGAAGAACTTGCCCACAGCTCCCCCCAGGTTAAAGAGAGCACGGCCAGCAAGCTCGCCCCCAAAATCCAGGAAGCCTTTTGGAATCTGTGGCGGGATCCCTGCGGAGGAGGTCCCACAGCAGGTGCCATTGCAGCAGCAGCCACAGGGGCAGCCCTCCGATGGCGGCATGCTGGACTCCCTGCGCCACAGTGGTTTTGAACTGGCCTACAAGCTGTGCTACAACGAATGGGAGGTGGTACAGAGCTCCACGCACCTGGTGGATGTGGGTGACTCCTCCGTGGACGTGCAGCTGCTAGAGGACTCTCACCAGGTTAGCAAAGATGGCTGTAGCTGCAGCTGCTCCTTTCAACAGTGGCACCACCTGCCATGCCGGCACGTTCTGGCCCTGCTGCACACCAGCCAGAAGCCCGTGGGTGAAACCATGGTCTGCCGCCGGTGGCAAAAGAGGTACCAGCACCTCCTTGGGCCTGGTGGGGAGCTCCGGGACCCTGTTGGGGTCCCAAACACAGGCCAGCCTGGGAAGCAAGGGCGGAAGGACATGATTCAGGACCTAAGCAGGGAGCTAGCAAACCTGCTAATGCAGAGTGAGGGGCCAGAGCTGGAGGAGCGCTTTTCCACCCTGCGCAAGATTGTGGACATCTGGGCTGACCCCTGCCAGCTGTCGGAGCCCACTCAGCAGCCAGGGGACTTCAAGGATGTGGGCCGCCTCCCTTTTCTCTGGGGAAAGCAGGAGGAAGTGGAGGGACTCCCTCGTGCTGGAGCCACGATTCATGATTGAAGCACTTGCTCTGATGCACTGGACCGCAAACCTCTCTCCCTGGAAGTCCGAGAGCTCAGAGGAGGCAGGACTCACCAGGAGTCAGCATTTTACCCACTGTCTCCTTAGGTAGGGCTAGGAAGATTGTTAAAACAGGGAGAAGAGGAGCCCCGTTGTTTGACAGTCCTGTGAATCACTCCCTTTTCTGCCCTACCTTTGGCATTCCTCGAGCCTCATTCATTGTTCAAGGCCAAAGTCGTTTCCATGTTGAAGGGTCACGCCTCTCTCCCCTCTCATCCCTGAGGTCAGGTCTTACTCCCTTTACAGAGATGAACCTGAGGCCCAGGATAGGGTGAGACGAAATAGACCTGGTGAAATTAGGCCTGGTTTCAAGGACAGAGGGAAGGAGCGTGGTCCTTGATTGTTGCTGCTCTTTACAAAGAATCTGTTATTTGTGTCTATTTTTATTCCTATTAAAGGTTTGGTGTTTTGTTTTGTTTTTTTAATAAAATCAAGCAAGCAGGGGAAATGTGTGCTGCTTGAACAGGGAAGGAATCTAGTGGGATTGTGAAGCCAAGCAGCTTGATACCTCGGAGACTTAATCCCCAGCTTCACCCTCTGCCTGGCAACCGACCTTCGGCTCTGGTTTCAGGCAGCCTCACGGCGTAGCAGGACGAGGCCAAACAGACAGGGAAGGAAAAACCTGAATCCTAGAATCAACCAGTTGCCCACAGCCTGGGGGGGTGTCTGTGGGAAAGTCCCGAATTTCTTCATCTGCAAAAATTAGTGTTTGCCAGTACTAGTCTGTTTCCCTTCTAGATTTCTAGAAACGGAACATTTTTGTCACATTCATGAGCATCAACACTACTTTTGTTGTTTCTAGTTTGTAATCTTAATCTCCTGGTAGCCAGCCCCCTTCCGGGGGACACGTCCACAGATGGAGTTCTTGCGCTCGTTCACCACGACCTTAGCAAGTCCCAGCGCCATTCTGGGTCTCTCTCTCCCTCTCCCCCTCTCTCTCCCTCCCTCTCCTCTCTCTCTCTCCCCCCTCTCTCCCTCCCTCTCTCCCTCTCTCTCTCCCTCCCTCTCCTCCCTCTCTCTCTCCCTCTCCCCCCCCTCCTCTCCAACCTGGGAGGGGCAACACCAAGCTCTCCCAAGGTGATCTGGCTTTTCTCAAATCCAAGGGTTGGGCTCTTGACCCCCAACCTAAAGGCAGAATTTGCAAACCTCAGTTTCCCCAAGACAGAAGACCCAGTACAACTACATCTGCATGCTTTCCTGCCCCTCCTGGGCCTTTGGAATTGGACCAGAAAAGAAAAAAATTATGAAACATCGCTGTTTATTCTTTTTCGGCCGCTGCGGGAGTTTCCATAGTAACACGCCCTTCCAGTCGTCTACGCCGAGGGGAGGTTCCAGAGTTCCAGGCTCAGGGCTCAGATTCGCCTGGATGCCAGTGTCCTGAGGCTTTCATTGGTTACCGCCAGCCGAGCCCCTAGTAACCATGGTAACAGCACCGCCCATGAACTGCCAGGCTACGATTGGTCTAAACCCGAAAAACCTAACGTGAACTCTTCGGCCCATTGGTCTGAGTCACAGGAAACCGGTGCCAGGGTTGGTGAGCCTCGAGAGCCGTCAGAGCCAGAGACTGGGTAAAATAGGGAGAAATGGCGACAGAGCCAGGCTGTGGGTGAGTGATTTCGGAAGAGGTGGGGAGGTATGGCAGGTGACAACTGTTGTCAGCCCCGACACAACTCCCACGGGCGTGGGAGGTTGACTTCTGGCTCCAGCCGCCGCACCCAGTCATCGGCATCCTCCGGTTCGGGCTAGAGGTGAGAGGTCAGAGGCCCCTTCCTTTCTCTGTCCCCGGTTTTCCGACCTCAGGTACTTTGGAAAGCATTCAAGATCTCAAGCCAAAGACTGTGTCCAGCTATTTACAGAATAATGTTGGCCAAGTCACAACCTCCTTGAGCCTCAGTTTCCCATCTGTGAATTGGGGACAATAACCTGCTCTCGGGCCAAGTAGAGGAAACATTTGACTAGAATTCCGCGGTTCGTAGAGGGCCTTGCACAGAGGCTGGAGCGGCTGTGCACGTTTTTAAGCCCCGTTCTGTGGCCGAAGAGATGGAGGCTCGGAGAGGGTCGTTGACTTGCCCAAGAGCACACAGCAAGTTTGGGGCAATCGAGTTCTCTCGTATACACCAGGACCCCATGAAAGAATGGATGCCAGGAAGTAAATTGTAAATACAAAGTACTGTATGAATATTTGAAATACTGTGTTTTAAAAATGACTATATGCAGCACTAACCTTCCCACATACTTAGATCTTCTGGAACCAAATCATTCCATGGCTGGTTCGTTGGTTAGGTCTCAGCTCCAACGTCATCCTCCTTTCCCGCAGAGAGCACTTCCCTGACCACCTTAGCTGAAGCTCCCCTCCCTCCCCAGTTTACTCCGTTACCCAGTCTTGTGGTCTTTGTAACCTTCATTATTCAATATGTCCTTGTTTACATGTTTATGGTGTATCTCCCGGAGAGGAGTGCTGATACATAGTAAGTTCAGTAAATATCGTCTGGAGGAAAAATTGGAGAGCCAGGCCCCCGCTGCCTCCTTAACCCTCTGTTCCTCTCCATAGGCCCCTCTTTGGCGGAACAAGATCTGGAGAATACAGTCCAGCCTCAAGCCTTAACTCAGCTGGCGCTTGAGAGACTCAGAGCCTCCTGTCCAGCAGCCTGGCAGAGAAGTATTTTGACCGTGGCATCTAGACCTCTCCCTTCTCCCCCATGGCCCTGACGATGCTGAACGAGCTCCTCGAGGAGGACCCAAGCCCGCCTGTGCTTCTGTACCAGGTTAGCAAGACTGCCAAGTTAGATACCCTTAACTATCAGAGCCGCTTTATGCAGAGTGTCTTCGCCCATTTCCCTGAGATCTTATTTATCCACCGGACCTATAACCCGACGGGCAAGGTTTTATACACCTTCCTGGTGGATGGTCCTCGGGTGCAGCTGGAGGCCCACCTTGCCCGGGCGGTCTACTTTGCCATTCCTGCCAAGGAGGATGCTGAAGGCCTGGCCCAGATGTTCCAGGTGTTCAAGAAGTTTAACCCAGCCTGGGAGAGAATCTGTACTATCCTAGCGGACCCCTGCTTCCTCCCTATGCCCACCCTAGCCATGGAGTTCCCCGCAGCGGAGGTCCTGCCGTCGGCCTTCCACATCTGCAAGTTCCTCCAGGGTAAGTTCTATCAGCTTTCCCTGGAGCAGCCCGTGGAGCAGGTGCTCCTGACCTCCCTGCGGAGCACAATGTGCTCGGCCACCGCCAGCAACCTGAGGAAGCTGTACGCGCTCCTGATCAACTACATCCCCCCAGACCAGCTGCCCAAGCTCCACTCGTACTGGCTGCTCAATGACCGCATCTGGCTGGCCCACCGCTGGAGGAGCCGAGCTGAGAGAAGCCGCTACTTCCAGGGCCTGGAGATCACCACACGCATTCTCAGCCAGTTCTTCGGGACCACCCCGTCTGTGGAACAGGGCATGACCTCCCTGCTCCGGTATATGCAGCAGAATTCCGGAGACAAGGCAGGCTTCAGCCTGGGCCTGAGTCCCCAGGACAATTGTTCCGCCTCAAACATCATCAGCCCCCAGATCCCCAAAGTGGAGCAGCTGGTGGAAGCCTGCATCCAGCACTCGCTCAGTACCATCTGCACGGCACCAGCGGCGCAGCTGTGCCTGGGTGAGCTTGCCGTGGTCCAAAAATCTGTGCACCTCATTGGCTCTGGCTCAGAAAAGGTGAACATACAGATCCTGGAAGACACCCACAGGGTGCAGCCCCAGCCCCCTGCCAGCTGCAGCTGCTACTTCAACCAGGCCTTCCACCTGCCCTGCCGCCACATCCTAGCCATGCTCAGCGCCCGCTGCCAGGTGCTCCAGCCCAACATGCTGCCACCTCAGTGGACAGCCGGCCGTGCCGCCAAGCTAAATGACATCCTGGGCAGCAAGTGGAGTGAGACCCTGGATAAGCACTTGGCCGTGGCTCTCCTCACTGAGGAGGTGGGTCAGCTCCTGCAGCACTGCAGCCAGGAGGAGTTCGAACGGCGGTACAGTACCCTGAGGGAACTGGCCGACAGCTGGATCGGCCCTTATGAGCAGGTCCAACTGTGATTACCCTCAGGGCTGAGATGCTCATACATAGGTACACGCATCCTCCCCTACACACACACACACACACACACACACACATACACACATACACACAGTTACACTTCCAAGGACCCTTCCTCCAGGAAAGGACAAGCGTCTTCTAATCTGCCACAGCTGGGTACCTACCATATGTCTGGCTCCCTAATCCAGGAGTCAGCAAACCTGTTCTGTAAAGGACCTGACAGTAAATTAGTTTAGGCTTTGCTAGTCATGTGCAGGATGTTACATATTCTTGGTTTTGGGTCTGTTTTTTTTTTCACAGTCTTTCCAAAAAGTACAAACCATTCTTAGTTCAAGGGCCTTACAAAAACAGGTGACCCGTGGCCTGAGAGAAGAGATACAGAGGGTAGGATCAAGGTCTGGCATGAGTTTTCCCAGTCCTGAGACAACTCAGCTGACCCACCGAGGGAGGGGTCCTTCAGAGGTGGTGGTTCAGGGAGGTTCCTAGCCTCTTTACTAACCCCCCCACCCCCACCCCCGCCCCGCCAAGTCATATCCTGAGGTTATTCAAGTTGAATGTTGTGCCCTGGCTGGCATAGCTCAGTGGATTGAGCGCGGGCTGCAAACCAAAGGGTTGTCAGTTCGATTCCCAGTCAGGGCACATGCCTTGGTTGCAGGCCAGGTCCCCATTGGGGGCCACGTGAGAGGCAACCACACATTGATATTTCTCTCTCTCTCTCTCTCTCTCTCTCCCTTCCCCTCTCTAAAAATAAATAAAATCTTTAAAAAAAAAGTTGAATATTGCCCACTCTGCACTGGTCTGGTTTTTTATCTCATGGAAGGCGCTTTGGGAGATACCGTGGAAAGGAGAGAGACTTTGGAGTCCAGCACTACGTGCAAATCCTGGCTCCTCCCCTGCCTGATTTTTGAGGCCTGGTCCTGCCTTTTCCTTGCTGTGGGACTGAGGGCAAGCCGCCCTTCCAAGCCCCAGTTTGTTCATCGGTGAAAATGGAGATCCTCACAGCACTGGCAGTATTGAAGGAGTGGGCAGATACAATGGGCCTGATGCCCAGTGGGCACTCAAATAAGTGTTCATTTTCTCCCTTTGCCTGTGGTTCCAGCACCTGCCCTCAGCAGGCTGCGAAGTGTAAGGCAAGGGGAAATTCACATCGCCTGGGACTTTGTGCAAGAAACTGACAGAGTCCCAGAGCTACAAAAGAAGTCTCCACTGTCCACGCAGGGTGCCCACCTCATTTTCACTGTGCTGAATAATTCCTCTGACAAGAGCTGTCTCCTGGCTCAGCGGTATCTGGAGAAACTTCTAGGGTCTGGGCCCTGAGGAAGGACTGGCATTCGTCAGAGTGGCTCAAACAGCCACCCTACCCCATCCCTGCCATAGGCACCCCCAAGCCTGTCTGCCCAAAAAACATACGGAGAAGCCACCCTATGCATCTGATGCTATTTCAGCAGCTACAAGCAGGAGCCAGGAGGCTGGCCCCTCCTGGATCTCACCAGGGGCATCTGCCCAGAGGCTATGTGGGCGCGTGCCACCTCCCATTGCACCCCCTCCACAGCCCCCTCTGGCTCTGGATGGGCCATCATGAAAGCTTGAGCCGCCCGGATCAGGTCCTCTTCCCGCAGGCCTGGGACGGGCACGGTGGGGATGCCAGCAATCATCATGGCCAGGGTAAGGATGCAGATGTCAGGCTGGGGGGCGGCCTCCTTCCCCCCTGCCTCGGCGGGCATTGGCACAACCCCTGGTGACAGCCCGCACAGTAGCAGGGACCCAGGCCTGCTGGAGCCACCCGGGTGGGGAGCTCGGCTTCTGGAGCAGCCGTCCTCCCAGCCCAAGCTCTCTGGCTGCTTCACGTGGGAGAACTTGGGGCAGTACTGGCCATACTCCTTCTGCCGCAGTGTCTCCCAGCTAGGCCCCCCAAGACAGCCCCTGACTTCCGGCACTGCCAGGGCTGGGCCCCAGGCCTGGGCAGCAGGTACCACCTGCTCAGCTTTCTGGTGCAGTGGGCCTCGTCCACCAGGGGCCGCCACCGCTGGCTCTACAGGACTATAGGGGCCAAGGGATGAGCCTGGAGAAGCAGTCTCACCTGCAGAAACAGGAATGAGATGGAACGTTATTCTTGGTCTCTTGGAGGAGGCCCTGAGGGGCAGGGCACAGGAGCAGTTAAGACCAGCCTAAGAGGGCCGGCTAGTGGTTGGGAACTCGCTTTTACTCAGATGCACACGCCCAGCCCTCAACCCTAAGTGATGAAGAAGTGTTTGTTCAATGAATGAGAGCGGAAGTGGCTAGCTCTTGGCGAGCCCTCTGGGAATGGCTCGTCTTTGAAAAGAATTCGCTCAAAGGCCACCCCTAAAATGCCCAGCAGAACCCCCACCTCCCCGGAGCCAGGTTCTGAGAACCCCGGACTCGGGTTCTCAGGGGAGGCTGTGGCACCCACTCCAGTTCCAGGAGCCCCCCTCTCACCTTGGCCGGGAGGCAGAAGACCTGGGTGAGTTTGTGGAGACATGAAATAGGACATGACTGTCCCAAAGCCCCTGTTTGTGAAGGAACAGTCATCTGCCTCCTCTCCCACCCTCTTCACCCTTCTAGAATGTCACCTCACAATCCCTCCCCTCTGTACCTGGGACCCACCCCACAGCCCTGATCTGCTCATTCTAGCCCTTCTCCCAGACAATGGGGTGGGGTTGAAAGAGCCCTGGACCAGGATCTGGGCCTTCCAGGTTCTGGCCTGTGCCTTGGGTGAGTCACCTGGGCAGCTTTGTTCCTTGATATCCTCACTCGTGAAGTGGCGGTGATGACCGCCCATAGCCTCACGAGAAGCTGTGAGGATGAAATGAGACCATGTGTGTGGGGGCAGAGGTACAAATGAGGGAGCCCAGTGCTTCGTGCCTGCAGGGCGAGGGAGGGAACGCTCTGCGTCCCTGCGTTTGCTGTGCGATGTTTGGACAGCTATGTTCCCAGCCCTGGGCTTCGGGTCCCCATCCACAGGATGAAACTGTTGGTCTAGGGCACTGGCTCTCGCACCAGGTTTCCACATGAGTCTCTCCCTTGGGAATGCTAGAAATCCTTATGCCCAGTCTCATCCCAGAGCAATTAAGTCAGAATTCCAGGGACTGACCCAGTTATCAGTATTTCTCAAAGTTGCCCAAGTGGTTACAATATGTGCCAAGGCCGAGACCTCTGTGCAAGGGAGATTAGAATCTCCAGGGCAGCTTTTGCAAAAACAGTGTCTAGGCCCAAACCTGGGACAAATCTAGTAAGAATCTCTGGAGTGGAGTCTAAGACTCTGATGGGGACCCAGGTGGGAGCCCCCCGCTAGGGGACGTCTAACGTGCTCTCTCCTGCTCTGACCCGCTAGCCCACAGCGATTCTAAAAGGAGTGCTCCTCACAGGCCTCAGGGGCAAGGAGACCCTCTCGTGATCAGTGCAGCATCGGCTGTGTTTATTTCCGGCCCTGGCTGACAGCGGAACGGCCAGCTTCAGACCAGCCACAGCTCGGGGGCCAGGACGTGCTCCGGGACTCCGCTCCGGGGTTGCTGCAGGCCTTCACTCGTACTTGCAGAAATCCTTAAGTCCCTTGGGCAGGTGGAGCCCGTCGATGGCCAACCGGTGCACCACGCTCCTCTGGATCACTAGGCGGCACAGGGTCTGCAGGGAGGGCACTGTGGAAAGAGGACGGGCAAAGGCAAACTGAACGGCAGGGTGGGTCTGAGGCCGAGTCCCAGAAGATCTAGGTCTTGGTCTCCCCTTTGTCGTTAATTTGTGCAATTCCCTTCTGCCCTCTTGGCCCCCCCGTGACTCACGGGGCTGTACCTGTGGTTGAGATAAGCACCTCTTTCACAACACTTTCACAACGCTGCAGCCCTATTTCTATTATAACACTCGGGTCCTCCCCTCCCCCTCACTTAGCAGCTGCTCAGGGCAGGGGTAGCGTCTGGTTCAGCTCTGCAGCTCCAGCCTCCCCATATGCTGGCACAAAGTGGGTTCTAGTTCACGGAACACATAAAAACGGGGGCAGAGACCTAAATAAAGGGTTTGCCAGAGCACCACACCTAAGGATGAAGCTCTCAGGCTACGGTCTGTGGTGACTTTAAACTGGCTTGGCCCTGGCTGGTGTGACTCAGTGGACTGAGCGCCGGCCTGTGAACCGAAAGGCTGCAAGTTCCATTCCCAGTCCCGGCACAGGCCTAGGTTATGGGCCAGCTCCCTAGTTGGGGGCCTGCGAGAGGGCCTCCAACTGAGCAATATTTCTCTTGCACATCGATGTTTCTCTCCTTCTCTGCTTCCCTTCCCCACCCCCTCTCTCTAAAAATAAACAAATTTTTTAAAATTGGTATGCCCCAAATCTAGGAGCATTTGCTTGATAAAAGAGCACACAATTCTCAAAGAGGCCCAGAATCTGAAATCGGCTTAGAAACCCTGCCCTGGGTTAAGAGGGAAAATACTGTCAAAGCCAGAAGGGGATTTGGAGGGCATCCTGAACAATCACAGCCAAGATAAGTAACAGGCCCAAAGCCAGGTAGCGGCTTATCCAAGATCACAGGCAGAGGCAGAATTTGAGGTCAGATCTCCCAACTTCTGGACAGACCAAGGGCTTGCTAGCTGGCTTGGGAGCCTAGCAAATTCGGGTCCCCACCCTAGGCCAGGAGGGGTCGATCCCCAGGGGGTGGGATACCTACAGCCATACTCAAGCTGGACCAGGCGCACACTCTTGGTGGAGGCAAACACGTCCACCACTGCGTAGAGGGGTTGGGCGGCTGGCAGCCCCCGGGCGCTGGGGCCCATGTCCTCGCCGTTGATGACGATGTGCATGTCGGCTGTGCCATCCGGGCGTGGGCAGAAGAGAACGCCCAGGCGGCTACGGCGCGCGGTCGGAGGCAGCACGTTCAGCTCATAGAGCTGGTCCAAGAGGTGGCTGTAGAGCCCAGGCCGACTGCGGCCCACCAAGCGGTCGCGGGGAATACGAAACTGCTCAATGCACAGATACGGTTCCACCAGGAGGGCTGGGGGTCGGCTGGGGGCCATTGCCTCTGCTTCCGGGTGGCCCTCCCGGGGCACGCGGTTGTGATGGCGCGTGATGGCAAAGACCCAGGTGTGGCCGAGGCTGACCAAGTCAGGCAGCGAAAACTCGGGCACGGGGGTCAAGCTGGCGGGGTCTAGCGCAGTCAGGCCGAGGCGCAGGTGGCCGCACCAGCCCAGCTCTTTCTCCTCGATCTCCACCAGGAATATCTGGCCTGGGGCCAGTGGCTCGTGACTGAAGCACACCCCGTGAGCGAAGCTCTCCACGCGTGTGGCTTGCGTCCCAGAAGGGTCCACGCGGATGTTGGCACCGTGCACCCGGTGGAAGCGAGTGGGAGGGGGCTCGGGGCGCGCGGGTCCCCAGGTCAGACCCAATTCCACGGGGTCGGAGACAGCAGCCATTTCCCCGCCATGAGCCAGCCCGCGGGTGGCTGGGACTATTTTGGGCAGCTGGCTCAGAAGATGACCGCGGGGGGCACCATGTAGGGAATTTCCCACCAACTCCCTTCCCCGAAGCTCTGTGCCGAGTGTCCTAGCGCCGCTTGCTCAGCCACCCCACCTAGAACGAGATCCCCCTGGAGGATGGGGGATCCTGGCGGTCCCCACCCGGGTCATCTCTTCAAGGACGGCAGGGACGTGACCTGCGAAGCCTGCGAACCCTGACAGGGCGTGGTCCACCCCAGGCCCCGCCCCCTCCACCCATAGTCAGCAGAAACAGCTGAGCCGTGGAGGCCGTCCATCACGTGACACCGAAGCACACGTGACTGAGCATACACATGACTTGCAGTAGCCAGGCACCTTCAGGAGAGCTGGGACGCGGGGGAGCAGAGGTGAGAAGACGTCGGAGGCTGGAAGGGATCCCGGAGCCACAGCTGCGGGCGCTGGGGGCGGAGGAGGCTCCGTGGTGGGAGCTGGGCCCGGGGCTGGGGATTTCCTCGCCAGAGCGCCGCCAGCGCCTCCCCAGGGACTGCTGCGCGCAGCCAGAGACCCGGTAAACAGCAGGCGCCCGCTTCCTCCGCAGATGGTCCGAGCCGCGGTGTCGCCGCCGTGCTTCCTGTTGCTGCTGCTGCTGCTCTTGTGGTCGCCCCGAGGCGAAGCAGCCCCCGATCAGGACGAGATCCAGTGTCTGCCCGGGCTGGCCAAACAGCCCTCTTTCCGCCAGTACTCCGGCTACCTCAAAGACTCCGGTTCCAAGCGTCTCCACTACTGGTCCGCAGCTCTCCCTCCCTGGGCCGGGTGGGGGGAGCCCACAGTGATGCCCATCAGGGGAGAGGGCTGGGGAGCGGGGAGGGCTAGAAGAGGCCCCTCCACCTGCAGCCACCCGGGCCTGACACCCCTCCCAGGTTTGTGGAGTCCCAGAAGGATCCCAAGAGCAGCCCTGTGGTGCTTTGGCTCAACGGAGGGCCGGGCTGCAGCTCCCTAGATGGCTTCCTCACGGAGCACGGCCCCTTCCTGGTGAGTGGAAAGCAGCTCTCCTTCGTGACCCAGGCAGAGGAGAGGGCGGGGACACTTCCCAGAGCAAAAGGCCAGCAAAGAGGGGGGAAAGGACCTCTGTCTTTTTTTCAAAAAAAAAGTCACCTCTTCCTGAGCCTTAGTTTCTTTATCTGTATCATCGGCTGAACGCAGTGGCCCTCTCCCTCCACCCCGGGGGGGGGGGGGGGGGGGGCGCGGTTCTTGGGCCTTAATCAGCCACGTCTGTCCTTCTCAGATCCAGCCAGATGGTGTCACCCTGGAGTACAATCCCTATTCGTGGAACCTGGTATGGGCGCTGCTGTGGGTCCTGTGGGGAAGCCTTGGGCTCCTGGATGGGCGGAGCCCTAAGCAGCTGCCTTCCTCCTCCCCCCAGATTGCCAATGTCTTATACCTGGAGTCCCCAGCCGGGGTGGGCTTCTCCTACTCCAGTGACAAGGTGTATGCAACCAATGACACTGAGGTGAGTCCTGCACTTGCCTGGGTGCCCCAGCCGCCCTGGTTCTCCGCAGGTGGCCTGATACAGGGAGGGAAAGACCATGGCTGTGGAATCCATTTTTTGCTGTCACGTGCTGTGCACTGTGCCTCCTCACTGTCACTTCCTCTTGCACAAACAGGGTAGGTTGGTGTCATCTGGAGAGTCTTTCCAGCTCAGACACCAAAGTCTCCAGATCCCCTCCCTCCTGCCGTCCCCAGGTCGCCCAGAGTAATTTTGAGGCCCTTCAGGATTTCTTCCGCCTCTTCCCCGAGTACAAGAACAACGAGCTTTTCCTGACGGGAGAGAGCTATGCCGGCATCTACATCCCCACCCTGGCCGTGCTGGTCATGCAGGACCCAAGCATGAACCTTCAGGTGCAGGGCAGCTGCAGGGGGGAAGGGAGGCAACTCGGGACCATAGCTTCCGGGCCAGCGAGGTCAGACAGATCGCCTCCCCCATTCGGCCCGGACTCCTCTGTAACACCCTTGCCACAAGCTGGCCTCTCTCGGTTTGTGTGCCTCCCATGACAGGAAGCTCACCTTTCAGGCTGCCAGCTCTGTTCTCTATGTCGTGTGGCCTCCCCCGCCCACACACCCCCACAGAGCGCCCTGGGTGTAGGTCCAGGGTGTCTCCTCTTCCTTGCCCTCCTCCTCACCTGGATACCCTTGCTGTTTCACAGGGATTGGCTGTGGGCAATGGACTCTCCTCCTATGAGCAGAACGACAACTCTCTTGTCTACTTCGCCTACTACCATGGCCTTCTGGGGAACAGGTATGGGAGGGGGGCAGGGGGGCGGTCTTCGGGGTGGGGCAGGTCACAAGATCTCACGTGTGTCCTCTAGGCTCACCAGATCCCAGGGCCTGCCCTGGTTTATCCGCACATGGTGGGGGCTGGGGTTGCTTAGAAGGGTTTGATGCAAAAAGACCAAAGACCGGAGATTAGAATTTAAAGGGACCAAGGAGACCTGGCGTCATGGCCCAGGGGCAGCTAGGCTGGGGACCTGCATACCACACACCCTGTGATGTATTTCCTCGTCCCCGGGGGTACGGTTGGAGGGAGAAGGTGGGGTTCTGGCCGCCTCCGCCCACCGTGGGTCTTTAAGCACTTGCACTCTGATCTTCTCCAGGCTCTGGTCTTCTCTCCAGACCCACTGCTGCTCACAAAGCAAGTGCAACTTCTATGACAACAAAGACCAGGAATGCGTAACCAGCGTAAGGTTCTGCCCCACCCCCATGGGTTACCCCAATACTGTCAGACCTGAGAACAGGACCACATCTCCTTGGGGACTCCCTGTTCCCCATTCTCCGTTGTTGCCCTACCCTGCATCCTTCAGCAGTTGGGTGTTCTCTGGGACACACGAATGTGGATGCTCCCCCCCACACACAACTTCCTGTGACTCTCTGGGCAAAGCCTGTAACCCCCCAGTGAGGGGGCGGGCATTCTCATATCGAACAGCCACCATGTGTCAGGACTGCTGAACTGTCAGTGTAGGTTCGTCTTCCAGTGTCTCCTTCAAGGGGGGTCCTATTATCCCCGTCTTCCCGATGAGGAACTAGGGCCGAGAATGTCAAAGTCGCAGGGCTGGAAAGTGGAAGCACTAGGATTTGGAGACCATTATGCCAGATTCTTTGCACTGAGCCTCCGTTTCCCCGCCTGTGAAAAAAGTAGTAGGAAGGTAATGGCAGGGTGAAGTAGGAAAGCACCAGATTTTGGGACACGGAGGTAATGTCATGGGGAGGCGAAGGTGTTGTCCAGCGCAGGGTCTCTGCGTGTTGTTGCAGCTGCAGGAGGTGTCCCGCATCGTGGGCAACTCTGGACTCAACATCTACAACCTCTATGCCCCGTGTGCCGGGGGCGTGCCTGGCCGTGTGAGGTAGGCGCTGCTGGGTGCCCCGTGGGACCAACCCCAGCCCCATCTGGAGGTTCGGGCACCCATCCCCCCGCTTCACGCGCAGGTACGAGAAAGACGCCGTCATCATCCACGACCTGGGCAACATCTTCACTCGCCTGCCGATCAAGCGCACGTGGCATCAGGTGTGCAGGGGCCCGGGCTCCCTCCCAGGGCGGGGCAGGGGGCCGGGAAGCAAAGACCCTAACCGTGTCTGTGCCCCTCAGGCGCTGCTGCGCTCTGGGGTCAGGGCGCACATGGACCCCCCCTGCACCAACACCACAGCCACCTCCACCTATCTCAACAACCCTCTCGTGCGGAAGGCCCTGCACATCCCCGAGCAGCTGCCCTCCTGGGACATGTGCAAGTGAGGTTCTGTGGCTGCTCGTGGGCGGGGTGGGAGGGCGCGGCAGGCTTTTGGCGCTCGTGGGCATCAGAAAAGTTCCCAGGGGTCTCCTGGGAACTTTTAGGGTTTCACAGTGGGGGCAGGCGGGCCGCAGTGAGTGTTTTGCAGGATGTTTAACCCCTGAGTCGATTGGTATTCAGCCAGTTCGTTCTTAAGTGGCCACATGGTTGTTAGAAATATGGATTACTTCCATGGCATTTAATTACCAGACACACGCCCAGCTGCCCTCCCCCATCCCCCACTCCAATGCCATCCCCAGCGGCTCAGCTCTCCTTCGACCCTGCAAGTAAAAAGGTGACCTGGCACAGAAGGGACCACTCAGGTCCCTTTTGGATGGGTCCGTGCCCGGGCCCTGCTGTCGTCACACACTGTGCTTCACACACCTCCAAGCTGCTTGCCGGTTGCATCCCAGTCATTGAAACAACCAAAGTGCCCCCGTGCGTTTCTAAGTGGAAATGAGTCGAGTACCTCTGAGTTCTCTCTCTTCCCTCCCTCGCCCGGCCCACAACCCAGGAGAGTCCTAGGGAGGAGGCCCGAGGAGGGGACTGAGTGGGGCCCAGCTGCCTGCCTCCTAGGCTGGAGCTTAGGGATAGGAGAAGTCTGACCTGTTGACCCACTCTCTCCCCCAACCCGGTCTTCCTGGGGCCTGCCCACGTGTTCTTGCAGCTTCCTCGTGAACTTACAGTATCGCCGTCTCTACCAAAGCATGCACCCCCAGTACCTTAAGCTGCTCGCCCCACAGGTGAGTAGGGGCAACACAGCTGGGTCCACCTGCAGCCTCGGGACCCCGGAACAGTGGCGAGGCAGGGGAGGCTGAAACTCCAGGAAGTGACGTTGCTTGCCCGAGGGCTTGTGGTTGGCAGGGTCGGGACAGGAACCAGGCTCTGGCCCCACCCCATGCTTGTCTGGTGTAGGAGGCTGAGGAGTCTGCATTAGCCAAAGAGCCTTGAGGGTGAGAAGGGCCAGTCAGATTGAGTTACAGAGAGGCAGACGGATGGCCAGGGTAGGATAGTCTTGTCCAAGGTCACCTAGGAGGGACTGGTAGAGCCAGGTGAGGACCAGGCCTGGAGCGCAGGTTATAGCACGGGCTCTGAGGTCAGATTCTTTACCAACCTGCGTGGCCCTGGGAGGCTTCTCACGTATCCAAAGCCTTGCTCTCCCCATCTGTGAAGTGGGATTCATAATGCTGTCTCCCCTCATAGGTGAAGCATTTCTTAGAGCACCGGGCATGCAGGGGAGCAGTCAGAAAACGAAAGCATTTCCTGACCCACGCTGCTTAGCTGGGCCCCTTGAGTTCCCTTGGGGGTGGGGCTTGAACCTGGTAAGGGCAAGGCCTGGGCTCGCCCCCCACCTGGCACTTTCCCCTGCTCCGCTCCAGAAATACCGGATCCTGCTCTACAACGGGGACGTGGATATGGCCTGCAACTTCATGGGCGACGAGTGGTTTGTGGACTCTCTCAACCAAAAGGTAAGGCAGGGATCTCGGCCCCCGGGTGAGGCTGGTGCAGGGGCAGGGCGAGCCCTGTGCCCGGCCCCGGAGCTCTCCAGGCTTGGCGCCTGAGCACAGGGGTGCCCACGGGTGGCTGCAGGCTGCTAAGTCTTCCCTGGTGGGGCAGATGGAGGTGCAGCGCCGGCCCTGGCTAGTGGACTACGGGGAGAGCGGGGAGCAGATTGGGGGCTTCGTGAAGGAGTTCTCCCGCATCGCCTTCCTCACCATCAAGGTAGGGCCTGGGCCTGGCAGGGCCAGCTGGGACGGAGGGGGCGGGGTGCGCCCCCATCCTTTCCTGCCCATGGCTTTTTATGCTGGGTCACCATCCAGCCCCTTGTAGGGGCAGGTTTTCAGTGCGGGGAGGGTGTGGAAGGGAAGAAGAGAAGGCTTGGGGTGCGGTCAGGGGAGGAGGAAGGTCACTGGCTAGTGACCAGGGGGATGAAGGAAGCCACCAGGGGCACAGGCTGTACAGGGAGGGAATCTCACAAAGCTTTGCTCCGCAGGGCGCTGGACATATGGTGCCCACGGACATGCCCCAGGCTGCCTTCACCATGTTCTCCCGCTTCCTGAATAAAGAGCCATACTGAGGCCACCACAAGGGCCGGCCCCTGCTGCCTGGTCCAGCACCTCCCAGCCTCTCCTGCTAGAAGCGAGGTCCCCCTTGACACTGGAGCCCCCTGCAGGGCAACGGGGGGGGGTTGCACTTTATTCCCAGCTGGGACAGGGCCTGGCCCCTCCCTGCTTCCAGAATGCCCAGGATGCACTGACGCCACCCCAGGAACAAAGCAGAGCTCAGGACAGCCCCGGGAGGTTGGACGGACTGTAATTGATGGACTGTGATTACGGAATTAAACTGAGTACAGCTTAAAACTGATCTTCTGTGCTGCATGGGGGTTAGAGAGGACGCTATAAGCCGTGAGGGAGGGGGTGCGAGGCACTGGAGTCCTGAGAGCGGCCCTCAGGGGTGGGGGTGGAGGGCTCAGGCACCCGCCATGGGGGGTGGCATGGAGGGTGGTGTGGAGGAGGGCGTGGAGGGTGGTGTGGAGGAGGGCGTGGACGGTGGCATGGACCGCGGCCTGGAGGGTGGTGGGGCTCGGGACGTCGGGGAGCCCCTGGTGGCCGCAGGCCGTTTCTTCTCGATCACCTCTCGCAGCCCTTTGGCAAAATGGAGGTCAGCCCCGATGGTGAGGAAGCCCTGTGCAGAGGGGCAGAGAAGGAAGTCTGTTCATTCCATTACTGAGGCGAGTTTAGAGAGAGAGAGTCCTTGGCCTTGAAGGGGCTCTCAGTCTCATGGGACAGACAACCAGCAAAGCACTTCTTATGACCTTCTTATGATCCCCTGAGAGGGGCGCTGCAATAGAGGCTGCAGGAGTACAGCTTGGGGGGCTCCAGGGGGGCCTCCTGGAGGTGACCTCTCAGCTAAGACCTGAAGGATGGATAGGCGTTGGGGGTGGAATCAGGGAAGAGTTCCAAGGTGAGGGCACAGCCTGTGCGAAGAGCTGGAGGGGTCTGTGTATACGACTCAAGGGGGTGGGGGCTGGAGGCAGGGAGGGGCCCGCGCTCCCAGCCTGCGGGTGGGGGGGGGGCGGGGAACGGCTCTGCCCTCCTTCCCCGTGGTTGCCCCACTCACTGCGTGGTTCGTCACCACTTCTCGCACGAAGTCCATGCCCTCCGGTAGTGGGATCTGCACCCCACGCCGGGTCCGCTCTGTGGGCGAGGACAGCCGGCTCAGTCTGGGCCTACCCGGGTCCCCCGGCTCCCCCCTCCCTCCTCATGACCCCTACCATTGATCAGGGGCATCACCCCCAACTGCAGCATGGTCTTCAGAGGGGCCTGCAGCGGGATCAGCTGGGCGGGAGGAGGGATGCGGTCAGGCCCGAGGGGGCAGTGGGCTCGCCCTAGCCGCTCGCCCTGACCCCAGACCCCGCCCACCCATCGTTCCCCACTCACTGCCAGTGACTCGAAGGCAGAATGGTTCGAGTAGATTCGGAACCTGGGGGAGGGAAAGAAACGCCTGGTGGGCATGAGCCAGGAAGCTCCCCTCCATCAGGCCCCCAGGCCTGGCCACCAGGAGCTGAGCTTCAGTCCCAGGTGTCCCACCTACACCCTTCCCAGGGTTCTACCACTCCAGCTGCGTGTCCTCGAAGAGCCATTTCTCCCTCTAGGTGTCCTTTTCTCCACTTTGGCTATTTGTCAAGCCCTTCCACCCCAAAGGCTAATACATAAAGTACTCCTGGGGTATTAACAAAGACCACAGCTCTCCAGTGGCATATTGGTATGACAATTTTAGCTCCCCAGTTCTGTTAGGCAGGTGTGATTATCCTGAAGACACCAAGGCTCAGGGAGGTTAAGAGCTTGCCCGAGATTTTCAGACATCCGCATACTTGCGCAGGTCCAGATGTATGCGCAGCGCCTTCCCCTGGAGGGCCACCTTGGCGCTGAGACGGGCGTCCTGCGGGTGCATGGGGAGGGGCGATGTGTCACTGACCAGGCAGGTACCCAGCCCCCTTCTCCCCAGCCCTCAGCAGCCCTCACTCGGGTGCCCGCACCATGATCATGCTGGACAGCTGGACCTCGGGCAGGTTGGGGGGGACCAGCGCGATGCTGACACTGGCAGTGACAGTGATGGTGGTGCCTGAGGGCTTGATGGTGCAGTGCGGTGCTTCCAAGACCTTCAGTTCCAGCTTCAGCGGAGAGTCAATCACCGCTGGGCTCTGGGGGCAGAGCAGGGAGGGAGGGTCAAGTCCCAGGTCTGTTCCCAGGGAGCCCACCTGGAGGAACGGGTGGCTCAGACTCTGCCTTCTGGGAACCCAGAGTGACGAGTCCGAACGAGCTGTGGCTTCCCAAACCCCACAGAACTGTGTCCAGACTCTGTGCCTTTGTGCAAAGAAACGTCTTGTTCTGAGGATGTCTCCTGCCCTGACTGGTGTGGCTCGGTGGATTGAGTGCTGGCCTGTGAACTGAAATGTCGCCGGTTCGATTCCCAGCCAGGGCACATGCCCGGGGTGTGGGGGCCAGGCCCCTGGTGGGGGGCGTTCGAGGCAACTGATTGATGTATCTCTCACACACTGATGATTCTCTCCCTCTTTCTCATTCTCTCTTCCCCTTTCTCTAAAAGTAAATAAAATCTTAAAGTGTCTCCTTCCTTCTCTTTCTGCTTTCCTAAGTTCTCAGTATTCACGATCTGCCTCCCACCCCAACTGCTCGGGGACAGTGTCTTTGCATCACATTTCCCAGCCTGTGGCCGTATCTCCCTCCTCTGAACTGCTGTGCTGTTGCTTCTAGAGGCTGTGCAGCAGTACCGTTAGACTCCCACACTGCCCAAATACTTACTCTTGAGCAAACACTTCCTTTTTTCTCTATTTTTTTAAGATCTTAATTTATTTTTAGAGAGAGAGGAAGAGGAGGAGAAAGAGCGCGAGAAAAACATCCATGTGTGGTTGCCTCTCACGTTCCCCCCACTGGGGACCTGGCCGGCAACCCAGGCATGCGCCCTGACTGGAAATTGAACCGGTGAGCTTCTGGTTCACAGGCCAGTGTTCAATCCACTGAGCCGCACCAGCCGGGGCCAGACACTTCATTTAAACCTCAAAGTAATCTTGTGAGGCAGGTATTTTCCTTTTTGGGATGGGGAAGTTGAGGGACAGAGGGCTCAAGTAACTTGTCCAAGGTTAGACAGTTACGCAGTTGCAGAACTGGGGTTCCGACCCAGGCGGTCTGGCGTGCTCTTAGAAGCTGTGCTTGGCCGCACGTTTGACGGTGGTGATGGTGATGATGATGATGGCAATACCAATGGCAGCCAGTGTTTATTGAGCACTTATTCTGTCCCGGGTACTGTTCTACTTGCATTACATGTATTAATTCTTTTAATCCTAGCGCCCTGGCTGGCGTAGCTCAGTGAATTGAGTGCAGGCTTCGAACCAAAGCATCGCAGGTTCGATTCCCAGTCAGGCCACATACCTGGGTTGCAGGCCACGGCCCCCAGCAACCACACATTGATGTTTCTCTCTCTCTCTCTCTCTCTTTCTCCCTCCCTTTCCTCTCTAAAAAAATTTTTTTTAAATCTTTAAAAAAAATTATTTTAATCCTCATGACAGCCCTGGGAGGTTGTACGGTGCAGTGGAGAATGCCAGTGTGCCCTGGAATCACAGACTCATGATCGAGATGCAAATCCCAACTCCATCATTTACAAAACCGAACCGAGGACACTGGAAGTTATTTTTGGTTAAATGTTGAACTCCCACCCCTCTCCCCATCACACAAGGGGAAAGCAGCAAAAAGAACAGCCTGTCAGTCATTAAAGCCCCTACACTCCCTTGCAGAGCTTGGGTCCTCAGCCCGTCCTCATCACCACTTCCAGTATTAGGACGGACGGAGCAGGAATTAGCGAGCCCCCTTTGCAGACTTAGCTAAAGGCTTGGCCAGGTGAGGGGACTCGGCCAGAGGCCAGGCCTTTTGTCTACTCCACAGCTGCCATTTGGGATTTCCACCTCCGGACCTCGCCAGTCCCCTGCAGGCGGTGTGCCCACCCACCCGGGCCACGTCCTTACCTCCCACCGACACTCACCTGCAGGACGATGCTGCCGAAGTAGGAGGCCCTCAGCAGCATGTCCAGGTCGTGGGGCACCTGCTCAGGGGAACGGGGTGGTGAGGCAGGGTCCTCGGGAGCTCCATCGTGGGTCCGAGGGCCCCCTGACGCCCATCCCACCAACAGGCCCCGGCATACCTTGTCCCCAGCCAGCGACAGCTTCAGGGCCCCTGCCCGGAAGTAGCTCTCCAAGGCTGAGTCGAAGAAAAACTCAGAGAAGGCCACGTACACCATCCGTTCGTCCTCCTGCAGCTGGGGCTCCACTGCCCGGTTAGGAAAGCTCCGGTTCCCCTGGGCCAGGGGATAGAAGGCCCCCTGGGGTAGGGGCATCAGGGTCAGGGCCAAGGCCAACTGGCCAGGCACAAGGATGTCTCCAGGCCCAGTGCAAGGCACTGGGAGGGGAGGTGGGGAGCCGGACCCAGCTACTGTCCTCGAGGGACCCGCAAGCACACACCCTCAAAGGCTTGGGAAGGAAGGCAGCTGGCGTGCTGTGAGGAAGCAAGGCCAGCAGACCTGGGAAGGGAGGAGGGTCAGGATGGGTTCGAGGAGGAGGGGCCATCTGAGCCTTGAGTGGGCCTTGAAAGCTAAGTAAAGACGGCAGCTACTGCTTCCATATACCTAGTGATTCTTCCATGCCCTTTACGCAGACTGACTCCTTCAGTCCCCTGAGGTGTGTTTCCTCACCGTGTCATGTCCATGTACATGTCAGAAAACAGGCACAGAGAGGCAAGGCTGCTTGCTCAAGGCCACACAGCTTGTCAGCGGCAGAGCCAGGATCTGAACTTCAGGCGTTCTCGCTCCGGAATCTGTGCTCTGACACTCTGCTCTACTCCAGGAGGAGATCAAAGGTGCTGTGTGGCCTTGGGCAAAGGACATCACCTCTCTGAGCGCGCTTCCACATTCCTACAGCGGGCATAACGTCAGTGCCCGACTCTTGGGATTACGAAAGGGTGAAATGAGATTGTGCGCACGGAGCTCTGCGTCCCAGCTCCTGCAGGGCAGACGGCGGGGGGGGGGCGCGGGGGGGGCGGAGGCAGTGCACGAGCCAAGGCCCCAGAGTAGGAAGCGGAGGCGGGGCAACTTTGAGAAGAGTCGCTGCAGAGGCCCGGGGCGAAGTTAGAAAGCTGGGGCCAGACCCAGGAGGCGGGCCTAACTCTGCAGGCAGCAGGGGGCCACACATTCCCAGCCGTGGAGTGGCTGCTGTCCTAAGAGCTGTGCTTTAGGAAGACAAAGCCAGTGACTTCAGGGAGAAGGAGGGAGTCGGGTGCCAGACGCGTCAGCG